CCTTTTTGACTAGGCTTATCTGGCACTGAGACTGGAAACCTGTTTTAATGTGAATTGTATGCACCTCAAAAATACATACAAACTATTTTCTTGTTTCTGTTTGCTTAATTAGTATACATGACATTTCTAGTTGATCTGGGCATGGGAATCTTTACCATCCAATTTTCACGTGTCCCACATCTATGAAATTTATTTAGGAATTAAATAAACCGAGTTTATCACTCCTTAGAACCTTGTTGTATGTCTCTTGTCTCAGTCTCATGAGATACCTCACCACATCATTAATCTACGTGTGCAGCATGGAACTCATGATTGTGCAGCATACCATGAGATTTTTGCAGCATTTTGAACTCCAGACCTAAAGAACTAAATGTGTTTGCACTACAATTCCCTGAATAATTACTTGAATTATTCCACCAGCATGGGTCAGTTTGGATCTTTGCCACCACTGGTATTTGTAATTCAGATCAGAAATAGACAATTGTGCCAAACTGTGCATCCTGTCAATGTGCTGATATGAAACAGCAGCACCATCAAGGAATTTTCTTGAATGCTATAAAGTTCCCTCCCACAGAGGAACAAAGGAGCCAGAGAAAGATACTGTATTCTCCAAGCTTCCTGCACATTACTCTGCTATATTCAAAATGCAAACCCCCTCTCTTTTTGGCTAAATAAGCCATTTGTTTAAGGTTTGATTCCAATCAGTATTCCACTTCACCTTTATATTAAAAATGCACTTCCCATTTTATTACAGCTGTAAGACATGGAAGTTTTCTCCACATTCCTTAGTATATGTTGCATTTAGAGGATGCTCTCTTCAATCATACTATTACTGCCTTGACAGTTTAGTCATTGTTATTCATGAGGCCTTCTTGATGTTTATCTGCAAGTTCTTCAAAGAAGATCACACAGCGATGACCTTAAAATGAGAATGAATGAGGCCTTTGTTTTCTATAAATCACTAACAGTCAGCACAATGCTTGTATTTTTCTCCCGGGAGAAAAAAAGGTAGCTACCTGTGGCCATAGGCTTCTGTGCTTGCACAAAATACCAGTTACTAATGCAAAATTAAATCTCTAACAGACAAGGTGGAACAAAACACCGCTCAAATGAAAGCAAAAGTTTTCAACACCTGTGTTCAGCCTAAGTTGCTAGAGCAGAAGAAATACTGAGTGTCAGAGAAGGCAACGAATATACATGATTCAAAGTCTCTAAGCAACACTTTAAAGACATTCCAGGAGAGCCTAATATAATTAAAAGAGCTGTAGATATAGATAGATGCATTAAAGGAATAAGCAAGTAGCGTATTCGAGGAAAGTGTAAGTATTACTAAAGCACAGCTAAATATATTAGCCTGCTATGGCAAAAATGAGGTACTCTTCAAAATATTACATTTTAAGTCAATGAATACTTATGTATAAAATAGTAGGTTGATTTGAGTAAGGAGGAAAATCAAATTATATTCTCCCAAAGTAATTTTTTTAAACCTCTATGAATAAACAATAGGGCATTTACCTGTCATACTAGAAAAGTAACAATCAGATCGATAATATGAAAAGCTTCAGTTTTCTTTTCACCAGTATGGCAGTTGAATCCCAAAGTTGCTGAGAAGCTCTCAAAAAAATTTTAAAAATGCTTTGTCATTCTGGGTAAAAATATGTAACTCTAAGGGGAACTTTAATGATTATGCAATTGAGCAGCTACCTTATGTGGAGAGACAAAAAAGTTTGTGAATCTTCAACCATGAAAGGAGAAGGCTGGAAAGAAAAGTGACAAAGGGTTACAGAGTCATGAAAATCATGGTTGAGGTAGAGGCAGAACTTCTGTTCACTCTATTCTATAATATGAGAACTGGAAAATAATAGATCATCAGCTTAAAACAAATCTAAAAAGCATTTATTTAAACACAAAGTAGTGGACTTCTGGCACTTGCTATCACATGGAATTTCAGGGGCAAACTGTGTCAGGAGGTTCCAAAAGGGATTAGACAAATAGATGGACAATATCGTGATAGGGTGAGGATGTACCTCTTGCCACCCTGACACAACAGTGGTGTATTGCGAGAAGAGAAAGAGGAATGGATCTCTGAGAACAGCTCGGTTTGTTAGTCTCTAAATAGCTTCTCCTATTGCCACTGCTGGAGACAGAAAACTTGCCTGGATATGCCATTGGTCTGACCCAATAAAACCTGTTTTATATTCTTAAAATGAAATTAAGAGCTTTATGTAAGTGCAAGCATCAATCTGATAGGCATTATTAATACTAAAAGTGAATGTAAAGCTTGAATAGTTCAATTTGTTGTTAAAATAACTTAAGAAATCCATGTTACTTATCTGGGCCTCATAAAAGTCAAAATTGGGTGTGCCTAGTAAAAGTAATTTCTGTAAATTATCTCCTCTCTTTACAGGAATATTGTTGCTTTCTGAATTGTAAGAATTTGTGGTTACTTTGTTTTAAATATACAGCTTGTGTATTTTAAGATTCTTTATTGTATCATATAAGGGGAAAGTACTACATGGTTGCATGTGCTTACAAATTTACAGCCAAGCTTAACCTAGAAACAAGAATACAGAAATGTATTATAGCTCATTAGAAATACAGTGGTGCTGATAATATTTCCTAACACACCACTTTATTTTACATATATGATGTGGAAAAGTTCAGGCTATTAAACTCATTTGTTGCCATAAAAAGGGAGTGATTGTGTGAAGTTTTGCTGAGGATGAGCTCACAATAGATCTGCAAGTTTTCAGCTGTAATTACACACAGATGCGATTCTGTCTCCATTTTTTTAATTTAAAAAAAGACACCCTATCTCTCTATTTGTGTGCTTAATGAGAAATAAAAACATAGCAGACAAAATATATTTTTCAGGCAAATGTATAACATCATCATCATGGCTAGGCTTCGCGAACGAAGATTTGGGAAGGACTCTACCCACATTTGCTACGAAAATGTATAACACACATTATCAATAATGCTGTCTTCAAAATTCTTCTTCAAAATTCTTCTTCAAAATTCTTTTGTTGCTGTTAGGAAATTCAGTAGAATATCCTGCTTCTAGGGAAATCTCTCCAAACATTCATCCTATCACACCAAGGGTTAAAAAAAAAAAAGGCATATTCTGGAAGTTAATTGTTCCAGACTCTGTTTGACTAAGGAGAAAAGTTTTGATCCAGGGCTTTTTACTTAGCTACTACATTGCACACCTGAGGTACATGCAACAAATCCTCAAGCATAGAGGAGCCTGCCCCAGTTTTGTTTCCAATTTGTAGTTCACTTTGCTGGATGGACTGAAATTTCCAGTCAGATTTGCAAAGCCCATCAAAGTAGTCTCTGCTCTGTAAGTAGGTTCAGATGAGCCACATGAATGATGTCTACATGAGTTAAGTAGTCCAGGCTAATGGAAAAGGATTTGTGCCATGAAAAGGTTAGTGCTGAGAACTTAACATCCACATTACACGTTTCAGGAAGGTGTTTCTAGCCTGGTCCTATGGCTGGAGAACATAAGGTGTGCTTTTGGAGCATATCTTCTAGTTCAATCTCATTCAAAAGCTACATGGTTCCTATGCTTTGAGATTGCTTTGTGATGTGAATAAAAGCATGATAAATACTGAAGAAGCACAGGCTAAAATGTCAGTGGTTAAATGCTGCCATGGGTATCAACAACACTCAAAATTAGTTACATTTCAGTACTTTATGCACAGAGGTCTTTGACAGTATGGGTTACTTAGAGGTTGTGCTTGTGAAGGATTTTTATTAGAATAGTGCTTCTAACTTTCCTTTAGCATGAGAATGGATAAGCCTAGGGAAACTGTAAGATATCTAGGTAAAAGCAAATTTTATAGAACAAAGAAAAAAAAGAAGAACTTGTTTGCAAATATAAACATATGCTTTCACTACATTTGTCCACCATATGGTGGTGCACAACATAGCCCTTTGGATCCACCTGAATGAATGAGGAACGGTTGTACGGCTATTTCACAAATACTGACACCAGAGTTTTGAAACTCACAAACATTTTTCGATACTTGAATGCTCAAGGAAAAATTTTGCATTTTATCAAACTGCCATATCTGGAAAAAAAGTGGTAAACAGTGCTCTTTATTGATGAATTACATTTTGCCCATTTTTATCTTTCAATGAGCAATGGAGACAGGAAACTCCCAAGTGTCTGTATTTTATTGAAACTGTAGAAAATCTGCATGGTTTAGAGAATATTGACACTAAATTAATTAATTCAAGCTGATTTAGGAAAAGATCAGGCTTATATAAATAGAAAATGTTCAACTGTCTACTCAATGACAAAATTTTGAAAAAGGGAGGCCACTAAAAAGTGGAAAAATAGATCCTTTTGATTAATGACTCAGTAGTGGAAGAATGTTGCCCATACCCATCTGTGTCCCAGACAGAGTGAAGGAGATGGTTTATCTCCTGCCAGGACAAAAGCCAGCACAAAAGAAAGATCTTACAATGGAGCATTCTGGTGAATCTTCACTTATGGTACCCCATGGAGGCTGTAGTAACAATAGGGAAAGGAAATGTGACAGACTAAAAAAATCTCACAGAAATCCAGAAGATGAGAATTTAAGCTTTTGTACTGAATGTGGCTATAGGTGTGTATTTGAGTGCAATCTGGTTCTGTGTTTATGAAAGAATATGGTATCACATTCTCTACTAGCAAAATAGTAAGATAGGAAAAAACAAATAGAAATAAAAATAGAATCTATGGTTCCTCTAGTGTGTTGTTCATAATGTATGTGTCAACTAAACTGAAGGAGCTCATTGCAATAGGCTGTACAAACTGCTTCATAAATTCTTGATATTTAAGCCAACACTTCCAAAACTTTTTCAAAATGAGGACTCTAAAGCTGGGTCTTAAATCAGTGGTCCGATTCTCAGTTGTACCATGTGCCCAACCATATCTGCTGAGTCAGCAAGAACTACAGCGCTCAACGTTTTAATAAAACTTACACAGGTTTTCAAACTTTTCCCCTCACCTTTGCTACTGCTCTCACCAATATATTCTCCTTTGCTGTTTCCTCTTTCCTCTGTAGAATGAGAACTGCTGCTAAAGGGCAATTTCTCTGTTGGAAGAGAAGATACATAGTCACGGGTAAAGAAAGGTTGACTACATACAATGTAGATTCTGCACTCACATTTGTGATTGATTTCATTAACTTTGAAGAGCGTCAGTGTTTCTTTTCCTGGTGTGCCTTTCCATCTGTTTTGGATGAGGAGGTAGATTCTAGAGCTATCACAGTTCAGGAGGTGGTTTCATGGTTCCATGGCTCCCTCTGCTCCTGCCCTGCGCATATTAGTCTTTTTCCCAGCAGACATTTCTCAGCACAGCTCTGTGTCTTGGCCTCATCCATCTTTTAGCCTCTTCTCCAGCACTGTGATTTGTGGTGAGTGACCTCCTATGTAGAGAACTGGCCTAGCGTGACAAATAAATAACAGTTACACAAAGAGAAAAAACCCAAACCAATAAACCCAAGAACTCAGGCTTCTTTTGGCTTTAAGTCATAGATTTTTATGAAATGGTTAAGGTAGAGTTCATAATTTGATATAAAAGTGATTAATGATGATATGAAGATATTTAGCACCTTATTTAATACTATGCTTCACCTTTTGATTCACTGTATTCCATCTCCGATTTTCTGATTATTTTCCAATCTTTGTGTTTAATCCTTGTTTATTAGTAAAAGTTTGTTGTTTTTTACTTCTCAGTGACTTCTACAGCACTTATGAAACAGGAGGAGAAACTATATGTACCTTTCAGTGGTTTAAAATGTCTGCATTCATTGCGTTTATTCCTTGGTATGCACCTGGACCGTAGCATTCTGCTGCTATGTGGGGCATCAATGTAATTGCTAAGGCCTTCTGCAGATTCATGAGTTTGCCCTGATAAAATACAAAAGAAATAGACATCTAGGGGGTGGAAATTTTGGTGTGAAATCACAGCACTCTCCTGAAGACATGACCTTGCTCCCAGTTCACATTAAAAGGCACCAACTTTCATCCCACAAGTTCTAGGAACGTATTTGTTTCATGTCTCTGAGAGCACCAACTTCCCATTTGTGTACAGCTTTAGAACCAAAAACAGTGTTCTTATACATAAACCAGTACATTTCAATGAGATCGGTCTAATGAATCTGATTTTTCTACTCTGAGATGTTTCTAGAGAGAATGCATAAATGGACTGTGCAGAGGTACAAATTACCAGTATTCAATGAAAAATTAGCAATCAGCTAATTTTATCAAGGTATTCTTCACTCTGACACTGCTGAGAATTTGACAGCACTGTTCTTATATTAGATTTTTGTCATGAATGCCTTGATATTTTGTACTCTGTGTATAGCAGGCCTCATGCCATATTCTTAGAGACAAAAATGACTCCTTTGTGTTCAGCAGAGCAGCTTGGTACTATCTGAGAGGCTGAACAGTGATAAATGAGAGAGAAATAAAAGAATATTTAAGAGGTCACTGAAACCTAGTGGGCTTGTACCTTTACAAGGGAAAGTGCTGGGTAGTATAATAGCTGGCAAGTCTTTTTGCAGCCAGAAAATGAAAGCCCAAACCATCAGGCTACAGATAAGAGATATATTCTTAATTGCAAGGGTGAATGTCCAAATTAGCAGAAGAGATGGATTTTGCATCTGCTGAAGTCTTCCTTCACATTTCCGTGTCTTTCTGAAACACATTCTTTAGTCAAATACAGGTAATGAAGTTCAGTACAAAAGAACCTAGATGTATTGTATAAAATCACCTAGCAATCTCCCCTGGCCTTCCAATCTAAAAAAAAAAATCTTTGGGAAATGAAGCAAAATTGGAGCCATGCTCTGTTTGGTCTTCCAATTAAAAAAGAGTAACAAATAACATCTGAATACTTTTCTTGTGTATGTCAAGTATTTTGCCATACCTGTAGTCTTTAGAATTAATTATTTGCATCAATTTTTGTGGCTTTCATAGTCTCAGATTCTTAGGCTCTAAGAAAAATAGTGCCTTGCTTTAATTACTATCTTTTTCAGATAAATGTCCAGCTGATAGAAAATAAACCATCCTTGTGAACCAACTAAAGTGGATGGCTGGTTTTCCTTGGCTCTTTTAAAGCCTTCATCCAAAATCAGTTTTCCTTATTTTATGTTTCTTGTACAAACTCAGAAACAAGAAAAATTTGCATTCCATATACTTAAAAAGAGAGTATTTTTCTTCTGTTTTTCTAAAGAGTTATCCTTGAAACAAAGAAATACTATATAAAGACTTTATAGTTTGTGGCACAGAACAACACACACAACTTGGCCAGTAGACCATGTGTGGAAAACTAAAAAACAATTTTGATGAATAATAGGTCCCAAGAAGCAACATCAATTGCTATCATTTCTTTCTTTTAAAATGAAATTGGTCCAATTTTAACAGAATTCTTACAAAAAACTCATTAAAAAAAAGGGATAAAAAAGGAAAATATGTAGATTTTAGTTTACAATTTGAAAGGGAAGAAGCAAATGTACATTTTAAAATGTTTTATATACACATTTATTATCTATACCATATGAGTTGTGTTTTGTCCGTAAGTGTTCTATTGATAATTTACATAAAATTCTTGGGTAAGGACTGGCCCTTTGGCAGGAGTGAGGTAGCATGGAGTACCTAAACAAAGAATCAGTGAAATCTCTTTCTTCTGATGAAATAAATTTTTATTTTGTTGAGACTTTTGACTCAATATACGAAAGTACAGTTTCAATTTGATTTGGTATTTCTAATGCCACGTACTAAGTCTTTTATTTTTTCAGTCTTAACTAACAGCATTTCATTAAATGGTGCACTACTCCTCAGCAAGCTCAATTGTGCCTTGCTTATGCACAATTGTAGTTAAACTGCAGGAGAGTTCCTGCTTCTAAAGAAGTGTACACTTTGGTCCTAACTTGTGTTGAGCATTCTTGGGCTAAAATACAATCCTATATGACAGTTCTGTAAGCTAACAAAAAGAGCACTCACTATATCCTCCATTTTATTTCCATTATAACAAAAAAGCTCATGATTTTAACATATACATTCACCTGATACTATTACTTGTATTAGTTGCTTGCACACAGTACTGCTTTTCTTTCTTAATTATTGCTATGTTTAGTATTTTCTTTTTAGTAGAGCATAGCAATCTGGCAAATGATTGCTAGTAACATGGAGTTCATCACTCTCCCATAGGACAGTTCTTTTGCTTGTCTGCAGCCTCTTTAAGGCTTTGTACCTGGCAACTGTATCATCTGCATGCAATACATAGGAACTAATATCCACATATATCTGTCAAGGAAAGCCTAACACTCTAAGCATTAGCTTCAAGACACACAGACTACTACTATTCCAGTCCCAACCAAATAATTTCACTGCTTCTACCTTCCCAGGTACTTAGTGGAGTGGTAAAGTTTACAATTAACTGAGTATTTTGAAAAATCCAGGGTCCTGGACATTTCATGTAAATAAAAAAATGTATTATTCTTTCAATAGTGGTAGAATTTCAGTCTAATGTTCTTGGCCAAAACTTCTGTGGTCCAAGGTATGTGTTGTGCCTCCATGTCTGGTTGTTGCTTCCTATGCAGTTTAGTCACATTTAGGTGATTTTGATTGAATGCAGTTTGCAAAGTCTGTTGGGACTTTTCAGGATGAAAAGCACTTTATAAATGTAAAATATTTTATTATTACAGCTGCCTCCAAGAGAGGAGCTGTGTTTAGCTGAACGTTCGGAAAGAAAATTTACAGAAATTTATCAGAAACTTTAATTTTGTTTCCAAACCACAGTCACTAGAGATTCAAACTATTTATCTCGAATAGTACCTGCCAAATTTTGATGACATAAAATTCCCTCCTCCCCATTTAAAAGTGCTGGATTGACCACAGTCATACTGCAGACATTAAAGTAACCTCCATTATTAGGTTTTCTCCACATTCCAACCTATCTGCCTCAGGGTATTTAAATCCTACTTTCATCTCCGCGAGGTTCAGTATTTCCAAATCCAAGCCATAAGGCCATGTCTAGACTACAAACTGAAAAGTGGGTTTGACTGCACACATGTTCACACTAAGCCACATGTCCCGCAAATTTTCCATCTCTACTTTTGTACGTAGCCCACTCACAGCTTGACTTTAAATAATTTACACTGTTCTAAAGAAAACCAACCTCCCAGTATTAGCTGATGAACCATTACCATGATTGATATTGCCTGGGTGCAGGCCAGGCAGGCTGCCTGAACAAAAGCTTGGCCCACGCAAAACCACTGAGTATAATCAGTGTTTCTAAGTGTAGCGAGAGTTTTTCCACCTCCTGGTACTCATGCTAAAATGCTGCCTTGGTATTAGTTTAAGGGTTTGTGGTGTGAATTACGGGAGAGTTAGGTCTTGAGAATATTCTGAGGTCCCCACGTGCTTGACAGTAGAGATGCAAATCCTAGACATAAAAAGCATTTTAATGGCCCCAAAATCATGAGATTAGATTAATGAGATATTTTCAAGTACACCATCAACTTTTGATGCTGAAGCCCAAACCAATTAAGGTTCAGGATACAGCCTGAACTTTTACCATGCAAAGATTATGTGCACCACAAAGTTGAAGGCTAGATTTGGAGAGCAAACTCATGTTCTTCCTCCTCAGATGTTTTGCTGAAGGTAATAGGCAAACAATGAGCAACTTCAATCCTCTGCAAACATCCCTAGCCAAAAAGGTAATAGGCAAACAATGAGCAACTTCAGTCCTCTGCAAACATCCATAGCCAAAATGGACCTTAATAGCCAAGAGTAATCCTGAAGTAAGATTACATTAAGCAGCGTCTATATTCTTGGGACTGTCTTCCTTCCTTTAATCTTTTTGTGGGGGATAATCAAGATATTTTGAATTTTTTTTTTAGATATTGTAGTTTCACAAAGTGGTGTTAAGTCTTATGTGGTGACATGGTATTAAGTCACTGCTACATTACCTATTGTATCAAAACAAAGAACAGTTAGTGATACAAAAAGGACTCAAATGGAAATGGAAAGATTCCCAAGACTCCTTTTCAAGGACAATCACAAATTCTTATAGTGGCATTACTGCATGTGGCATGAGGTTGAAATTGGGGTCTCAGTGATGAAAGCCCATAGGAAGCAATGCATACTGGGGAGGAAGGGGCTTCTAGGATATGATGCATTCAGTAATGACCTCAAAGCACACTAGACTTCCGTCAGGAAGAATGAGACAAAGTCCTCCCCCAGATGTTTGGAACAAGTATTTGGGAAGGACTGCCATCACATAATTAGGACAAGTGTGCTGACCTTAGTAATAAGCATTAAATAATTGAAACACTGAAAAAATGTAAATGATTTTAACAAGCTGGATAAATCAAAAATTTTAGAACCATGCATAAATATGATGTTTCTTTTTAACATGCAAATGTGAA